AAACTGCATCGCGCCGGCTGGATGGGAAAAATTGCGAGGGAGCTTTAACGTTGTCATCGGTTTTAGATGGGAATCGAGGCACCGGCAGGCTTGGGGGCCGCCGTTGCCGCTGAATCGCGCGAGTCTACGGGGTTTGTCTTTCGCCGGGGCGATACGGGGTCCTGATCGAAAGAAAATTGCTGAAAATTTTTGTTCTTCGCCGTTCGTTCTCGGGAAAATTTCTTATTATTGTAGCGCACGAGAGTCGAGAGGTGACAAGCTGGCACGATGGATGATACTCTCGCTGTACACGCTCGAAATCTTTGCGACCGAGCATTCTATATTCTTCGCTCCTCATTCTGCGCGTAATACCCCCTGTCATCTATATTATCCGTTGCTTTTTATTTTACCATCGCTCTCGAGTCCTCTCTCGACTAATTTCGAAGCTTCCTATTTTACTCCCCGTTCATCCGTCTCATAATCTCCAACCCTGATACTAATCTTCCCCCTTTGCATACAAAATTACCACTAATACGCACGATGTCACAAAGAGCGCTCACGCGAAAATTCAAGCCAGCCGTGTCCCCCGTGTCACATATCATCCCAACAGAGAATTTATCTCCCTGTCGAGGGGGTTGAAAAGGCGTTTCGTTCTGAGATAGCCGCTGGCCAAGGAAAGGGAGCGGCGCGGTTCAAAGTTTATGCCGCCGCTTTTTCCTTTGTGGCATCATCGGCGTGTTTCAAACGGTTCGCCACGGTTTCATCCCGCTCGCCCTCGCTGGCCGACATACCGGATCCAAACGAAATTAAAACGTCGAGGTAAGTTTTTGCGGGGGCCACGTGTACCGTTTGGTCCGGGGTGTTCCGGCGCGGCGGGCCGGAGGGGAGGCGAAGGGTGGTCCCCTCCCGTTCCCTCCCCGACCGCGCGGGTTCCATAAAAGTGCCGCGAATGCCTGGCGGCACGAGAGACTTGACCTTTGTGCTCGCAACATTATTAAGTCCTTTGGGGCGGGCAAAGGGCCCCCGGAAGCAGCCGCGACGCTCCGGGGGGAATTAAGAGAAGACATTCGAAAACGAAATAACTTCAAAATTCCTCCTTGGACAAACCGCGAGCGGGCGGGCGCAGCTGCAAGGGAACGTTACACGCCGGAAGAATCCGTCTGAGGTTCCCAGTCGCGATTGCCTTCCGCTGTTTCTCCCGTCGGTGGCCTCGGAGTCACGCACAAACGACGAACGTTGTTCCATCGCAATTTTCGGGGCAGCTTTGTGTCTAAAACGCGACTTAACGAGACGCAATCCGCCCGTGGAATTGCCAACACCGGGTGGACGTGTAAACAGTACGCGATTCCCTTTCTTCCGTCGGGACCCGCGCTTCCTCGGATTTCTCGTTTCAATATTAATTACCGCGACGTTTCAGCGTTACGTATGGTTCTTTTGTCGAAACAGCCGCGTTCTCAGAAGAATTCTAGCGATGCTCGGTCGTTCACGCGTTAACGTAGGACTTTTATTATTATTACTCCAGCAGAATTTACTCTGATTTCAACACTCCGTGTTCTACATGTATATTCCGGGATTGTAACATCCGTTTCCAATGTTCGTTTAATTATTCAACGTCCCGTACTATTTCTACCATTTTTCTCGTTGAATATTAACCGCGCAGATTCGCAGTAGGGAAACCGCGCGGGCGTAATTTTAAAATCGATAAGAATATCCGCTCATTATTATAGTATTAAGTATTAATCGTTGTTAAGTATTCGTGGTTACCGGAATGGTGTTCGAGTTTTGTTGAATTTTGCACGTGGTGTGCCGACTAATAAAACTTGTACGGTTCGAAGGACCACCCGATGTTAATCGGGAACAAAACTTGGAAATGAGTAGGAGGTGAAGTGGACTTTGACTAAAATGCTATGTGCTTGATCGAAATTGCTAATTTGTGCTTTGTAGTCCGTACTTCCTACTCCGTACTCTGTGCTATGTACAATTTGAGCTGATACTTGTCGAAACTTGTTTCTCAACTGACTGGGCCTCCCAGAAACGTCTTCGACGACACCTCCGCAAGTCGTCTTCGCGGGGGTGAAGTCATTCTGGTTGGCCCTTTAATTCTAGAAGTTTGTGGAAGGGAGAGACAGTCCCCTCCCTTCTTGGGTCTCCAAGTTGCTAATGTTAATAACTAATTCGTCCCGTTTGCAGTCGTCGACCGTGGCAGGTAAAAAAGCGAGAAACGCTTAGGCCCTTAAACACACATGCTAAACGGGCTAGAGAGTCAAAAATGCTGGTAACTGGACGCCAGATGTGAACAATAGACAGCGAAAGTGTACAGTAAGAATAGCGGGCCTTATGGGTTCAGGGATTTATGGCTGCCACGGTCCCTTCTCGTAATACCGTAAGGACGACCGCAACTTGCGACGGGACGAAGGCTCTTATTGCTACGAAAAAACTAACAAATGTACAGCTAAGTCTTAGAAAGATAAAAAGTGTACACAAAACTAAAACTACGGTCGTTCAAGGGCCCGGACGAAACGGTAAGGCTATAAGTGGCCTTAACAATCGTCGAAATACATTGCCCCCGAGTCTTCCAGATCCAGGCGTGCTCGATAAAAGTATAAAAATACTTAGCGGAAGACAATGCGCTTCCTATTCCGGCCGCCGATACAAAGAGCGAATAAGAGCGCCTCTCTCCTCGCGATTCCCGTCATTGTGGAGCATCGATACGTTTCTGTTTCGCGTCTGCCAGGCACAAGTGTCCGATAACGTACGAACGGGGAGTCTATTTCATTATTACTCCATCATTCCCGGCATTTCGTTCCCGTTTTATACATTATACAATGCGAGAGAGCTTTGATGTTCCTGCTGGCACCTTCCATCCACCATCGTGTTTCCTTTCTTCCGGCCGTTCCTTCCAGCCCCGCTCCCTCCTGTCCCTCCCCGCCGCCGCCGCCGCCCTGCCAACCGCCTCTTCACCCAACGGTATGCTAACAGAGGTTAAGAATTACGCGAAATTGCGCGACCGCCTCGGGGCGAACCGGCAATGGAACAACGGGGGAAGGAGAGCCAGCGAATTCGCGTCGGTTTAACGAGGCTCCCGAATAAAGGATGCGAGACAAAAAGAAGGTTAAAATATTAATACCCATAGCCGCGAGGGTTGGTGCCCGTTGCGCGTTATACGACCGCGTGATCTAACATTGATCGACGCGGGCCGGCCGTGATACGGCCGAGCGCGTACGGGGGAAAAACCTTTCGCGAGCGCTGTAATAAAATGAAAACAAGAGTCCATTTAGCGGCCGAGCGGCGTATTATGCTCGCGAGCGAAACGAGCAGGCGTCCCGGGAATTAGATTGGCGTTCGTGATCCCGCCAGCCACTTGAAACTCGGACCATGGGATCTTGACAGTCCGCCGCTGGGAAGGAATGCCGGTGAAAATGTTGCGTGTATCGTTGCCCGAGTGTTCGCCATTATTACTGTTAATTACCGGTAATCGCGTTCAGATGCGGAAGATGAAAGTATCGATACTCGCGCTGGCAAAGATTTCTATCGTGAACTTTCGCGAAGGAGTTCGTTGCACAAGTAATTTTAATACGGAATTCTATCGATTACGGTACCTGGAATGTTCGAAATGGATACAGAGCACGTTTAATTCAAAATCTATGTTTAATTCGCGCGAATATTTGATGAATGAATTAAGTAATTGAACGACTTCCTGCCATGAATTGCGCACGACCTCTTGTTTTCGAGCGGTTCGATCAGTCGTGTCTCTAGCTCAATATAGTTTTCTCCCTCCCTGTTCCCCTGATATTTTCGTAACACCGATATTTTAGTTTCGACAGTACCGTTGAAAGCCCCTGTTTTTAACACTGTTACAGATACCGAACCACCTGGTCTGGCTGTGCTTCTTCTACTTGATATTCCATTCGTTCTTTAATCTGTTAGGAGAACTGCTGCATTTCGCCGATCGGAATTTCTACTGCGACTGGTGGAACGCGAATAACATCGACATTTTCTGGAGGACCTGGAACATGCCGGTGCATCGGTGGGCCCTGCGGTGAGCTTCATTGATCAATATCACCGTTATCATAATATTAATCACCCTTATTAATCCCTACCGCCGCGGGAATAACACGCGAGTCGATCGACCCGCCGCGGGACTCGCTCGTTCGATGACGCCTCGCCGCGGAAAGCTTCGGAAAGCCTGCCAATCTTAACCGTGATCAACGAACTTCCCTTATTTGCATCCCCAAATTATTCCGGCCAAGTTCGACGCCTCGACTGTCACCGGCACCGGGTATTTCGGTCCTGTCGATCACCGCTGACAAAATGGGAAATAGAAGAAGGCGCCGGGGAACCGAGGAATTTCGAAAAAACGGAATAATATTTCACGGTCGGCCGAGGACCCGCCACCGGGCGTCGCGAGGGAGCGGCCGAATTAATTAAAGTCGAGGGCCGGCTGTTTATAAACGCGTCCGCGAATTAATTTTCCGAAATAAACGGCGGAAACGGAAGATCCTCGTCGTCGCGCGGCGGCTCAGTTTCGCGGCGAGTTTTCAAACGCGAGCCGCGCCGATGCCCTGCTTCCTTCACGCGGACATTAAAAGTAAGACTTGGATTGGTAGTTATCTACACGGTGCCTGGCAACTGCCGATTCAATTGAGGTTGGATTTTATAGGAATTACGGTATTGAACGGCAGCGATTATAGTTTTTTAGTGGATTCCCGTTTCTGGGAAAATGAAGTGTACATATTTGATGCATACAGTCGGTTGATACTAGATGAAATAAAGTTACAGTCCACGGGGTTTGTCCTACATGGAGAACCGAATGAAAAATGTATAATACATTTAGCCCGAATCAAGCTTTGTTTTCGAAAAAATGCTGTTCGACCGTAGTTTTGTCGATCGTCGACAAACGCAGAGGTGCTCGCCAGATTTGTTTAAACCGGATTTCGACGAAAATTGCAGCTTGAAACGGAACAGAATTTTATTATACTCGTTCAACTTGCTTTTATCCGTTGAATAACTTCTCGATTAGTTAATCGAAACAGCCAAATGTTGTAGTTTCGAATAGGAAATTTCACTGGAAATTTCCGCGTCATTCGTTCGCATGGAATGATCCGTTTCATAGTTTTATCACCGGGACGCACTGTACTCATAATTTCATACATGTATAACGAGAGGTGGGGGTAGAAGCTAAAACAATTAGCCGCGCAGCAGTTTCCACGGGGTTAAAAGGGGCGGCGGCGGTCTAGGGGGTGAGTCGACGGCGGCGGGGAAAGTCTCTGATTCACGGAAATTTCTCTTCCTTTTCGGAGGGCAGACAGGAGCCGGGATCTCGCGAAAAATGTAATTAAATCTCCTTAAAGCGGGGCACACTCGTTAACGAAGTTTAGCCGCTTAGGCGGAAAGAAGCTCGATCAAAAGTACGACCTCGCGGCTGGATACCAACTTCCCCTTCTACTTTCTTCCTTCCTCCACTCTCACTCTCTTTCCCTCTCTCTCTCTCTTTCTCTCTGTC